AGAGACTGAACACGGATTCATGGTTGAAGGAGCAGAGCTCAGCACCACACAGAAGTCTCCCTTCATCATGCCCAATGAACTTGACCATACTAATACGTTATGTTAATAAATCACGTCACATGAAATATATTTGATTTTTGGTAGGATTAGAGGGAATCATTAAAAAATTACCTATATACTATATATACATAAACAGGTATGTACACATGCATATATAATGTGCAATATATCTTTATATATTTTTTCAATGAAAGCAATTTTCTGTTTGGTTTTCTATCAAAGATACCTTAAAATTATTCAGTAAGATTAGAAACAATTTTGGCAGAATTTGGCACATCATTTGTGGCTTTGTGTTTTCTTTTTGAAATTTCACTGAATGGGATCATTACATGCTAATAATTAGGTGATAGTTTCATTTTCCTCCCCACAATTGGTTCCTGCATTTTTTCTGCCCTTCTCTAAGTTGCCACTAGAGGGCAGCATATGCACAGTAGAGCAGTCAGACCCTCAATTTACAGATAAAAGATAATGGGGGAGGGGCAACTTGCTGTGCTTTAGGAGCACACAAATTTTCATTTCCACCAGCTATCTTTATTTTACTAGTTACAATATCTAAATTAAGGATATAAAGATCCATATACAGGGAGCCGCCTTACTGGAAATAGCAAATGAATTAAGAATTCCAGAATCTTCAAATCATTCCATTGAACATGTGAATCCCAGAAACATACCTCCCATTTCTCACTTCCTCTTTTATGTTACTTAGCTTGTCTTTACTAGACTTCTGTGAAGTCAAGGATGAACAAATATTTGTGTCAATTTTTACAGAAATAAATATAATGGCCAAACATTTTCAGGTAGGACTATATCAATTTTCTTTTTTTAAAAAGAGTATTGACAGTTATACATGTTCAGTAATTATAAATAGTTGGACTGGGGTTTTTTATAAAACCCCAAAGAATAAATATAACTATTATTATGAGCAGACATGTAAAAGAATAAAAAATGGATTCTGACCTCAATATCAATCCATAGGCATACAAGCTTTGCCAATATCTTGGGATAGCTGTCAATATCAGTTTTCCTTTACAAGGCCAAACCCCTTACCTATATTCTCTCCTCCCTCATCACTACCACCACACAAGGTGGTCATGAGTCCTCTCACGTGAGGGCACAGAGGTGGAGGCTGGCTGAAGGACGCGCCGGGGCCATGCAGGGATGAGTGGCTTCTGGTATAACACTGGCCCACTTCTGCTCTTTCCTCTGGGCTGAGGACCCAAATCTGGGCTCTGGCTCATCCTCTGCCCTTTGCTCGGCCCTCGTCCTGCTGTTTAACTTCTAATGTGTGTGGCTCGTCTCCTTGGCTTCTGGTCACTCACTGAGCATTTGTTATAAATATTGTATTTATATATTTAAGACACAAATTTTAAAAAAAGCTAAGCAGACTCCACATTACACATAGGCCATTTTGTCCCCAGTGCTGGCTCCTGAGGCAACTTTACAGAGGAAGACCTCAGGGTCTGGGGTCTAGTCCTGAGGTGGGAACCGGGAGGGGTTAGTTAGGATGAAGGTGTCAGGTAAGGCAAGTGCCAAGAAAAGTTTATAGAAGGAGGTGGGGTGGCCGGAGGGGAGCAGAGCAGGAGACACCAGGAGGGAGTGGATGGGCTCGGACGAGAGCAGGGGACCCACCATTGAGGCTCAGGGCGTGGAGGGAACCTGTGAGAACTTTGGGAAAATGAAGTGGACTTGCTGTGGTCACCAGCACCTGCCTCCTTTCTCACCTGACTGGGAACAAGGGGCTCCCGCCTGTGCTTCCAGGTGGACACCACATAGAAAAGATGACCTGCCACAAAAAGCCACCAGCTGCTTCTGGATCAACCGGGACCCGGCCACTGTCCAAGCCAAAGCGGAGAAGGTGCCGCAGACACAGGGCCCTCCCACCCACCTGCAATGTCGCCCAAGCTCACCTGCTGCCTCGCTGCCTCCGCTAATGGTAAGAACGGTGGCGTCTACACGAGCCTGCCCGGAGGGAAGCGTGCCCGGCAGCGGCAGCGGGAGGTTCCGGTGGGATCACGGAACACCACGAATTGATTAATTAGCCCTGGTGAGTCGCTGTCATTCTTGGACAATGGAGTTCCGCAAGCTTTTGTGCAGAAAGGTTCTTATCCTCCCATTTGCCCACAGTCAGCCCTGGCAGCTGACCTGCACTATCGTTCTTGTTCAGAAGATGTGTTTTTAATACATCTTTGTAGAAAAAGGCTAGTTTTGTACTAAGAACAATGAAGCTCACAGACCGCAGGCCACCCATCCTAGCTCACTCTGGATTTATCTGCACGCAGTGGGGGGAGGATAAGAAAGCCACTCCGGTCCTGGGACTGTGTAGGGACTGTCCCTGAGTGCGTGTAGGGACCACCTTCGGAAGGAAACGGTGCCAAGAGGGGGTCATCAGTAACACCAGAAAGTTCCATCCTGGCCAGGAGACAAGACCCCCTTTGGACTGAATTTTCTTTCATTCTCTGCAAGAACAAAAACATCACCAAGGGCCAAGATTTTTCTAATTTGTCATCTTGGCAAGCTCAATCTGACAACATATTTGTTGAATTTCAACCCCAAATCATCTTTCCAGGTTTGCATCACAAAGGAAAATGAAACGGTGTTTCCTACAGTTCAGCTGCTTATGCAAAATCTCACAGGGAACAGTAAAGTCTCCCCACTCCCGGAGGGGGGGTGGCCATCGCAGGGGAGCATCTGCAGTCACAGAGGCCGCAGAGGCCAGCAGAGAGCCGGCCTAACCCTGACTTTTGCTCCACAGAGAGAATCCTCTTTGCTGGAATCTTTTGTGAAGGGAGGAGGTGTAGGTAAAGAAAAGAGAGAGAGCTGCCATCTGCCTCAGGCACTTTGCAACATCCAGCATTACAGTAAGAACAAACTTCAGACTCAGCTCTTCACTTTGCTGGGGCAGAGGTTGGGCAGGATGGACTACGTGGCATTTCACAGCTCATTTCTTAAGTACACAATTGCTTGGCATTTTATCCCACAGCACCAAGCAGCCTCGGGCTAGGGCTTGGCATATATTGTAAAAATCTGGGAGAATGAATCAAAATGAGGTCATGTGAAAATCCTGTTGTCAGCGGTCAGCGTGCCTGCTGGGAATGTGGGAAGAAGAGTCCATGAACCTACCTGCCTCCTCCCAGAGTCCTTCCCAGTAGCCTGGGGCTAAAATAATTAGTCCAGCAAATCCCACCTTCAGCCCATCAGGTTGGCCTCCACTCGTTTCCCCATGTGGGAAAGTAAGGGTGGAAAGGGTGTCGTCATGCTGGCTTCTGGTTTTTTTGTTTGTTTGTTTTTTAATATATTTTATTGATTTTTTACAGAGAGGAAGGGAGAGGGATAGAGTTAGAAACATCGATGAGAGAGAAACATCGATCAGCCTCCTACTGGGGATGTGCCCGCAACCAAGGTACATGCCCTTGACCGGAATCGAACCTGGGACCCTTGAGTCTGCAGGCTGACGCTCTATCCACTGAGCCAAACCAGTTAGGGCATGGCTTCTGGGTTTTATTTCGCAGGTACATGCCCTTGACCGGAATCGAACCTGGGACCCTTGAGTCTGCAGGCTGACGCTCTATCCACTGAGCCAAACCAGTTAGGGCATGGCTTCTGGGTTTTATTTCGCAGCTGAATAATTGCCCATATTCATAGTTTATATTTTAAAACATGCTTTGGAAATGCTAATGATATTCCCATACAAAGTTCAAAGTAAACCAAGGTGAGCTCTTCCATAGTCCCACACAGTAATTACCAGGAAAACCTATGACTTTGCAGTTAAGTGGTGCCCTTTTAAATAAAGGCAAACCCTTTTATTATGCTACTAGAGGCCCAATGCATGAAAATTCATGCAAGAGTAGGCCTTCCTTCCCCCGGATGCGGGCACTGGCTTCCCTCTGGCACCTGGGACCTGGACCCGGGCTTCCCTCCTCCAGCTGCCGGCAGGCACCCGGGACCTGGGCTGGCTTCCCTCCGGCCCTGGCTTCGTCAGGAAGGACGTCCGGAATAATGTCCTGAAGACGTCCAGTCTAATTAGCACATTACCCTTTTATTACTATAGATGATCTTAGTAACATCAAATGGTGTGTGCCCCCCTCTCCTGCCCCCCACTACCCAGGGATAGCACCAGGAAGGACCAAACCTCCATGAACCAAAAGAAATGAGCTAAGCACAAGTTAGCACCACTCTCGGGAAATTATGAACTAATCATACCTCTGCCAGGCTGGGTCCTTGTGCTGCTCACTCGGCTACTGCCTGCCACACGGGTGGGTATGTGATAAATACTGGCTCAGTAAGTCAATGATATAACTTGCTGGGCTTTCTCTCTATGTGGCCTGTCTTTGGAATAGTGACATCAACTTCTCAGGCCAGTAAAAAAATAAGGCCCTTTCTACTTCTCTTTTTTATTTAGAAAAATATTTTTTCCATTGGGGTCTCTCAGAGGAGTTGGCAGCATTTGATTTCAGTTGAAGTGAGGGTGTAAGTTATCTGCTGATTTCTCTCCTTTCCAGTCATTGTGTTCCCTTCCTCCTGCCCCTCCTCCTCCTCCTCCTCCCCCTCCCCCTCCCCTTC